TCTTCTTCCCCCCAGTCGCCAACACCATCTCCACCTTTGGGGTACCCTGAACCCGGCTGGAGCTGGTCTTCAGCAGAAACTCTAGCAAAGTACACCACAGCTGCAAGCCTCACCATGCACACAGTATCTCACTACTAAATATGAATGGACGGTCATGAACCACCAGGCATCTGAGGACAAGCAATAACAGGAAAGACAGGAAACACAGACAAACAATTCAAACAAGGGAAATTGAAAGCAAGATGAGGAGGTTGCAGAAAACAGTTTTAAAAATAAAATAAAATAAAAAAATCTCAGAGATATGAGATACTTTACTTATTAAAGAAAATCTGGGTTAAAAAATAAAGGTTTTCTATGAATGTTAAATATAAAGTGAAAATAAAAATGCTAGGAGAAAAAAATTTAAAAATTAGAAAAATATTATAATAAAAAAATTGGAAGCTCAGCTGGGAAGTCAAATAATAGGAAAAACAGAAGAAGAGAACAGAGATACTGGACAGGAAAAAATTAAGGAAGAAACTACATTTGAAAATTCCCTAAAATGGAAGGCTATACATTCTCTGACTGAACCAACTCAAAAAATGTCTACTGTAATTAATGAAAAACATCTACACCAAAGTCCGCTTTAAAGACTTAGAATACAAAGAATGAAGATAAAAATCTCAAAAATTTAACAGAGAGAAGGAAAAAGAGATTACTCACATACAAAAGACTAAAGTTTAATTGAAATATTAATTGCTTCCAACTTCTCCAGGGGTTACCCTTGAAAGCTAGAAGACATATGATCAAGGTCTAGAAAATTCTGAGAAAAAAAGTAATAATGTATAACTCTATACCATGATATTTACTTAACAAGTATAAGGATAAGGTAAAAAAAAATATATGTGCAAGTATACATTATTTATGAGGGGGGACCCCCCAAAAAATTGGATTTATTTTTTGGAGGGTAGACCCCTTGTAGTACAACTGTCCCTCACTAGGTAAGTGTCCTAGAAACCCATCCGCATCCGTGTGCCAAGTAGCATTTGCCCATTTCATGATGGGTGATTTGCAAACACACCTGCCCACACTGCACTGAATGTTCAGCAGTTTTTTACCAAAGTGGCACGAGCCTTGTGCCTCACCCTCCCTATTCACTCAGTCTCACCAAATGACTTCTTGTTGTTGTTTCCCTGGATGAAAAAAGTCCTCAAAAGGAAATGTTTTGCTGATGTGGAAGAAGTGAAACAAAATGCAGCAGAATCACTAAAAAGCATCAAGCTTTTGAGCAGTGCAGAAAGCATCTTGATTGGTGTATGACCTCAGAGGGGAGAACTTTGAAGGTGACTGAAGTTTAAACATGTAAGACTAAATACACAATTTTGTTACAAATAAATGTTGGCTTTTTGGGGGGGTACCCCCTTGCATACTTATATAAAATCTGATGATGCAAAAATTCAAAAAATTGACAATTTCTGCTCCCTTTCTCAAGCATCGACTGGAGAACACACCACCAAAATACATATGTCAGCTAAGAAAGAGGAAGGTATTTGTTGGAGGAAACATGACACTGGACACCAGAGAGAGGTTGACGAAATGACGGAGGAAGAGAAGTGACCATGGCTGAACACTGCACAGCAGGCCCAAGGGTTGACTGTACAGACAGGATCAAGGTTGCAGAGGCTTGGGAGGAATATCTCCAAGACAACAAATTAGATGATAGTTCATCTTATGTGTCTGGAGGTTTTGAGAAGAGATTTATAACACTGTCAAAGAATTTGGAGACAAATTAACGATGGATATCATAGAAATATAAGTAAATAAAAACAGGGGTATTTATTAACACCAGGCAAGTGCTTCAGGTTCATGGCTCACTTGTGAATAACACACACCAAATTATAATATTATACACATTGAGGACCGATTTTACCATAACTTGGAAGTAAGCGTGCATGGGAGTGCATATATCACAGAGGAGGATGCGCCTAAGAAAACAGAATGTGATTCTTCTGTAGAGGAGACCAGTAGATAACACCTATTTTTTTGGAAGCTTAACATGAAGAGGGGTTACTGAGTTTTGGTTAAAGGTAATATAGTGCCAAAGGAGGAGGAGTTTCCTTTTTTGTAAGAAGCCAGAAATTTGAGTCTGTTTATTGCTGAGACACTGGCACCAATGTAGAGAGATCCAAGAAAGAGAAGATGATGGATGGAGCATAATTTCTTGGGATGTAGGTTGGGAGGGGCTGAAGTGGACAGCGGTGCCACAGCTGTCGAGAGCATGGATTCGGGAGAAGACTGGATGGGACTGAAACAAGTTGATTGCAGAGGGACAGACAGTCAATTATTTTATCTCTCAGAGTCCCATTTTCCTCATCTATAAAATGGTGATAATAGTATATACTTCATATGGCTCTTTTAGTTTTTAATTTTTGTTATTTTATTTTATTATAAAGATGTGGGTCATATGATTCTTTTAAGCATGAAATGCGTTTTTTAAAGTGAAGAGCTTAGACACTTCCTCGTGCACTGTATGAGTACTGGTTGCTATCATTATCATTATTATTATAACTATTATTGTTATTCCTTTGAGGTAATGTATAAATATGTATTAATCACTCAAGTCCAGATAAATGATCAGGGAATCGGGGCACTGAATATATTGTATATGAGGTAGTTTTTTTTTTTTCCAGAAAAAAAATGGAATCAAAATATTATGCTCAGGGAGAGGAGAACCAGGGGTTAAGTAGGTATACTCATCAGATGGGAATGATGCAATTTCATAATAGGCATTACTTTGAAAGAAAAAAAGAAATTTGAAGGGGAAGACAGATTAAGAGCAATTAAACATTCCCATTAGTTATCTGATGAGTTCTTATTTAAATATGTGTTTTGTTTTGTTTCTTTTTGAAACCAGGATTGGTGAAGTGGGTTGTCCTTGGCAACTCTTCAGCTGTCAAAGCATTCCATCAATAAAAACTAGAAAAAATATCAAACCATGTAGAAGAACAATGTTTTGTTTCTACCACTAAAAGCATCTTTTGCATTTAGCATCTGAAAAATAAATCTGTTTAGTTTTCATTCTTAAGACATCTTGCATCATGCTTACCATTGTTTAGATTTAAGCTATTATTTTACTTACATTTTCTATACATTTACTTTCTCTCTACATTAGATGTCTTCATTTAACAGTGACATGTTTGTATTATATGTAGGCATATAGATTATATATTTTAGGAAAGTCCCTTCCCCATCATTAATATGCAAATATAAGTGGTCAACTCTAAGGTACTGCAAATGAAGCTTTGGGGCACTTTCTTCATTTACTAGAACTGATATCGTGTTGAAAATTCGATAAATTATCCACTGTAAGAAAGTAGTAAGCAATCAATGATTCTGAGTTGCCCAATTCATTTTTAACTAAGCTAATTACTTGTTTGATTATAATCCTGCTTTTTATTGTACAGCTTTAATTATGTATTAGTTTCAAAAGTCACTTGGAATAAAAATAAAAGAGTAAAATGTTCTCCACTATTTTCTTTATGAAATATTGTAAACTTTGCTATAATGCTATCTTAATCGATGCCCAAGTCTCTTCAAATATTATTCAAAATGATAAGTATCAACTGAACACGTCCTTCATTATATGTTATATTTATTTATTTGATTGTAATACTTTTTAATAACCCATCTCTTAAGTTATGGAAACTCAAAATGAACAGTGTACTTAGAAATAAACCTAATGTCAGGGACTCAAATATGTACATTCATTGTATTGATTAGAAAGTTCAAAGAGCATTGAAGGTACAGAAATATTTTATAGAAAAACCAGTTAAGACTACTTTGCTCTTTCAATTTTATCTCTTTTAAACTCCAAGACTCACAAAATTTCATCAACACAACAAAAATCCACTTCTCTGAATGCATCACAATCATAACCAGCAACTACCAGAAAAACAACTTACCTTTAGGTGACTTAATGTAAATGTTATTTTTTCAAGTTCGTACAATGTGGGTGGGCTTGATCTCATTGAGACTGAAATCACGGAAGAAATGACTCTTTCCTCCTCTTCAGAATTAGCATTATTTTGAGGTTCCAATAAGAAGTTATCAGATGGTGAAAGCAAAGGACCAATACTCTTATAATATAAAAATGCAACTGCAACATTGCCTACCAATAAAAGAAGTATACTTAGTGAAATTCTTATAAAACAAAAATGTATTTAGACTAATAACATCGACATAAAAGTTGAAGAGGCAGTAATTTTACTTTAAGAGAGTTTCACAGATACCCACATACTGAAATGTGGACCACAATAAGTCCATGCCTACATTAAGACACACTCTCTGACTTCTGAGAATCCAAAAATAATTATGAACTATAGTATTTGCTTTGCACAAGCTATACTTAGGAGAAAAATAATCTTAGATAAATTTACATCCAAATCCTAGTGGAGAGCCAGGGTGTGAAATATATTCACTTGAAAAAAAAAATTTGAGGTACTTCTTCCATGTGCAAAGATGTGAATTGAAGAGATAATGGGAGAAAGTTATCACAGGTTTATAGAATTAAGAAAATTAAGAACTGAATGAGTCACAACGTGTCACTGAGTTCAATCTTATGCCCACTGAAACAGTTTCTATTTAATATTGATAACATAGAGTTGTCAGGACGGAAAATTTATTTCATTAAGAGGCCAGACATTTAATCATGCCCCCTAAAATTCCCCAAATGCAGTGCATAAACACATAACCCAATACTACGAAATCACAAATACAAATGTTGACAATGTCACCAAAAACAAAGTACTATAATAACAAAGCTGGAAACATCCACATTACACAATAACCAGAATTCTTTATGATGATGTGAGCTAGAAATTGCCAAAGTGTCCTGCTATCCATGTTTTCTATCTGAATCTAAAAAGGCACATCAAATGTAAACACAGTTACATTATATAGGGCATTTTCCTTAACTGTCATCTTAGTAAATTTAAAGAAAGAAATGGCTATCATTATGATATGGTTAGGCTAGTGCAACCATGACTTCAAAAGATGACAATTATCTTATTAACCTTTACTATCAACAGACCAGGGCTGGAAGCAAGACCTCGAGACCTTTTAGGTCAACATGACCTGGTTCGGTGGATAAACCAGTTCATGGGACAGTGACAAGACTTCTTAGGAGTTGGTCCAAAAGCAAAGGAAGCATCAGAAAGATAAGACAGATTCTAAAAATCTACGAATTCCGTCTATCCTTTCTAAAGGAACATATTTATTTAACACCAATTTTTGACTTTGGGTATGGGGTACCACAGAGAATGTTCCAAATACCTTCTCTCCTCTTATGAATACTATCTCAGTGTTGTGTTCATTTTCATCCTTTTTAACCTGACTCACTTCCCATGATTTCTCACTAATTCTTGGCCTGGTCCAGCTATAAATTATCTTACCAAATGTGTACCTTTTAAAAAAAATTAGAGGTCATTCACTAATGAAGGGACTAAGAACTTGGAATAATTTGAAAAGAGGACATCATTTCTTAATAAACCATCATTCATCATTCCTTCCTTATTTTTCTCTCCTTGATGCTGGTTTTAGTCTTTGTGTCCCAAGATCCTTCTAATATCTGTTAACATTACCGTATCTTCACTAGGAACAAGACATAGCCTTCATTTCAATTAATAGAACACATATTTGAGCACTTACGTAGTGCAAATGGCTGCTAAGTTCTGGAGATTTTAACTTCAGAAAGAACACTTACATATATTTGTTAAAGGATTCTCCTTCAGTTAGCTCTTCTTCCTTAATCCTATTTTGTTTTGTTACTTCTATTTCTTTTGAATGAAATTAACAGTCTTTTTAAACTGTGGTCCAATCATGAGTTACACTCCAGACTATTGGAAAATTATTAGAGTATCAGGAGTTATGATTTTTCTTTAGGTTAAATTTCAAAATCCATTTCCCCACATAGGCTATGCAATGAATTTGTTAGAGAATTATGATTCCAAACTGCTTTATTGCTATTTTAACTTGAGAATAACTTCAAATGCCTTCTGAGTAGGACTTCATATGCTATTCTGTTTTGTCAACTAAAAAAGTATTATCCCAATTTGATATGTGATTTAAAATTACTTAATCTCTTAACAAAAGGCTGCCACCTTTTAATCAAAAAACCATACTTCAGAGAATTGACTCTTGTTCTTTTCATTCTCAACCCTTCCCCTTACTGTTCAAAAATTCTCCCTCTAAAAAAAAAAAGATTGAAAATCCTCCTGTGTGCCAAGGACCATTTTTATTTTCTTACTAATGACCCTGAGCAGGTTTTAAATAATGCAAGCATTTTGTTAATAAATTTTGTCAATACATGAATAATAGCATGCAGACATCATTGAGAGGGTTTGATCAGTTTGTTAGATTTGCCCTTATTTTGAAGTTCCAACCTTGAGAAAAACACATTTTCTCACTCTGCTTTTTTGAGAGCTGATATTACTGTCCATTTCAAATGTCCATTTCAAATGTTTGTATGTGGGATATTAAATATAACAAATCTACTATACAATCAGACAAGATCTCTTTGAGATATTAATTCCATGACAATTTCATCCTCTGTCACTATAATAGGTATTTTCAATATATTGTTCCCAACTTCCAAACACTACACAAATTGTCTTTGACATTTCAACAGTGGAACACATCCTTTGAGTGTGCTCCTAAATATTAAATCTATGCTTGGTTAAATCTAAAATGGTATAATAGGGTAAGAGTCAAGGAATCAACGGCAGTATGGCTTAGTTATTTTTAACTAACTTCGCTAAAAGTTATTTTTGCTTCGTTTTATGACCATCTATTTCTTACTTCTAAAAGAATAACACTGATAGATTAGAAAAGATCCCACATCAGTGCAGTAAAAACAAAGCAAAACAATGACACTCATCTGAGATTGAATATGCAAATATTTTTAACAAAAATAAAATTTATAAAATAGTGTCTATACATTAGATGATATAGTGGTGTAATATATCATTTTTCATTTGTAGTTATGAGCATTCTTGGAGAAAATTTTATAATTCACATTTTCCTAAGTAATATATTTTCATTTGTAGTTATGAGCATCCACATATTCTTGGAGAAAATTTTATAATTCACATTTTCCTAAGTAATATATATTTTACCTCTATGAGAACAACAGCAAAAATCCTACTATCAACAGTTTTTCTTTGTGTATTGCACTAAGAGATCAGATACATAATGAAATTAAAATAGTAGCTACTTGCTTGACTGTAGTTAGATGACAAGGAAAAGTTGATTTCTTTTTTAGGAAGGGGTGATTCCTTTATTAACTCCCTCCATTCTAATACTGGTTTGTACTATCTGCTGATGTGCATGGAGACAAAGTCGTCGACTCTGAACATTAGTTCCAACATCCGGATAAGGAGGATACTGAGTTATATACTCATTAAGTTCTCTGCTAGTACTAGTATTCTCTGATTCAATTGCAAAATGCTGCATTTAGGTTAATTGAATAGTTGACTGTTCAAAGACTAAGACATGACAAATGGAAAGAGTCATCTATTGTTTTGAAATTTTTTTTTTCCTCTGTTTTTTTTTTCCTCAGTCACAAATTTAGTTTCATGATGAAGAATATGGTAGAGAACTCTACAAATGATAGCATCCTTGCAGCATAAGGAGTAGTCAAATTGGAGTTCTTTTGTATATTTGCATTAGAATCTCAAAAACGTAAGATAGTGACAGAGGTTGGAGGTAAGACAAAGACAGATATTGTCAGCTACAATTCTCCCCAGGTATTTATATCGGAATGAAAATCTCAAGTACAAAGGTGGATATTCTTTATTATGAAAACCATGAAATATTGGTGTATAGGAAATCACACACATATAGCATATATGTGTTATATGTACATATAATAAGTACATATGATGTAATCAACGGTTGTTGAAGTCTTACCACCTGAATCATATGCAGCCTTTCTCTTTGGAAATATATTGATAGAGTTTCCGTCCACATTCATATGGGGATGAATATGTTTCATGTGATATGAATCAAAAAAGAAGACTTTGAGAGCTGAAAAAAAAACATAAGAATAAAAAAACCCCAGAAATCAATAAACATGCATCATCAATTAATTTACTTATTTAGAGAAAATTTCACTATAGCATTTCAACTTCTTTTTTGTGATAAGCAGAATAAACATATTCTAAACATGTTTGGACAGTATGATTTATATGTTAAAATATGACTCAAGTTTTAAGTTTTTGATTTTGCTACAGCATTTGTGGTTTAATTTCATCTTTATTTAACTGAAAGATAAATATGTGTATAGTCAATGAAGCTACAAATCATAATTATTAAAGCAACTACAATGTCCGAGAGTATGATAGCTACAATATAACTTACTATCTAAAGTGTGATTGAGTGATAATTATTAAATTAAATAAATTATTGAGTGATAATTCCCTGATGTATTTTCACCTTTTTCAAGCAAGAACATCATATAAATGTAGGGCACCTATATATTTAATCCTAATGCTTGCAACATTGATTTTGATGAAGTTTTTGGATATCTACTGCTGCATAGCAAGAATTCACCCAGACAATGCAATAAAGGTGTTATGCAATGGTGATTTCAGAAAAATGTACCTTATTTCTTCAAAACAACTTTACAGGCATTCTCAATTTGAGAATACATTACTATTTATTTCTAAATTAATAAATACTACTTCCAATTTAATCAACAGTATTTTATTTTATTTTTTTCTGTTTAAAAAATTAGTATCAAATTTATTAAAGTTACAAATTTTCAAATTTAGCTCTTTGTTAGGTTTGCAAATCTTACTTTATATATTTATTAAAATGTAACAATACTTTGAAGAGGTCTGGAATTAATGGTTGAGACTATTTAAAATGCAAAGATTAGTAAATATTTTTTAAAAATTCACAAATACATTTGAAAATACTTTTAAAGTAACTTAATTTTCTGACTTACTAACTTTCAAGTACTCAAGTAATACATAAGAAATAAATTAAGCTTATTGAAATGGTTATTGTATGTTTCATTAAATGTTCTAATAGTTTACATTCGTGTTTGACTTATATTTTTTAACTTTAATTCACAAGTTGAAATCAATTATTTAACAACATATATTACATTGGAATCACAAGGTTATCTGTTATTTTAATAAGACAAATTATCCTGAACACTACAAATCAGAGAGACCAAAGCCCAAATGTCCTAATATAAAAATATTAACACCAGAGTTTTGATTTTCTTAGGGCTTTTTTTTAAAACCAGAAAGCAGTTTATTTAATAAAAGGACAGAAGCAGTACACTCCAAAAGAAAGCTGGATCAACAGTATTTTAAATTTGCCCTCTGCCTTCAACTTTTGAGAATAGCTTGTTTGCAAAACACTGTTGCTTTGAAATGGACCTTTGACTCTTACCTATATCAGTAGAATTAGTATCAAACTGAGTGGTCTTTTGGAAGTTCTGAGATATCCTTAATGTAGCTTGTTCAGCAGTGTGCATGAGTTTTGTAAGATGAGTTCTCCTATAATTTGTAGATAACTTGTCCCAAACTATAAATACATCTTTTTGAACAAAATTGTTCACAGTTTTTACAAATTCCTGTTGAAAAAAGTATATCTTTAAAAAATGTTGGAATCCTATGCCAATACAAATGAAAGAAACGTTTAAAGCTTTTAATTATATTAAGAGTTAAAGCTCAACATACTTACTGTAAGAGTTGAATTAGAAAAGGTGTCCTTGGCTGAGATAGTGTTATTCATGTAGCCTAGCAATGGAGATGATTCAGCTAATATTTCTATATATGTAATGATATCCACTGGTGAAAGATCTGTCACAGAATTTCTATAGATTTCTTGTAACAAGGCCACTGGTTTTCCTATGGGTCTAATCTGAACAAAAATGAATTCAGAAAAAGGAAACTAATTTAGAGTTCTACTGGAGCTTTTCAAAAATTAAGTGTATATGTTAAATTTATTCTGAGGTTGATTTTCTTGTCCTATACATAAATAATATCAAACTAATAAATGTAAGTCATAACATGCAGCACTGAAACCTGAATTTATTTATAAGAGATCAGCAAATAACTTAAAAAGTATAGAAGGTATTCAGAGAAGAAACAGAGCATGTTTGAATTGATATTTCTTTAAATTAGCTTTTAAAATAACTTCCTATCTTTTGATATAGAATTATATCCTAGTCAATGAATCTACTTTTATATTTAAAATCCTTTGTACTTATGAATATTGATATGCTAAGTAATAAATTATAACCTAATACTTTGAATTAGATTTTAATCAACCAAAGAAAATTTGTTACAATGTGATTAAATGAAAATTTGCTTTAGCTGATAGCTGATTACTCATGAAGAGACTCACAATTTCAATCACATGACAAAAATTTTAAGAATGTCCTACTTGCTTTGCTCTTTCAAATATTCACTTTGAAGTACAAAATCTACCTACATTCAATTACATCTCCTTAGAATGTGAAAATTGGTCTAGAGTCAAAGTATATTTTTACTATTTTATTCATCAACTTTCTTTACATATTAAGAAGAATTTTCCAATATACTGAATAATGAGAAAGTAACAGATTAGATATGTAAAATCTTCTGAAATACTTTGAGACTTTCAAATTAATCCTATCTGTAATGCAAACATGATACTTAGATCTTTATATATAAATTGTTTCAACTCTTCCTAAAGTTCAATTGCTAGTTACTCTTCTTAAAATATGACATTTGGAAGCATTTTAACTGAAACCAAAAATTCATGATAAAATAAATTGTTAAGTAGTCTACTTACTTTTGTTAAAGTTTTATTAATATATGCAGCAATACAAGGATTATCTAAATGACAGTTTGCATTCACATTTTCTGTAGAAAAAGAAAACAGATTGTATAGTAAGTTTAAAAAGACATTTTTCCTTAAATTAATCCTATCAATTCCAATTAATCATTTATTTAAACACTAAAAGGACACTCTTTATCCTTGAACTTCTTCAGTTTTAGAATACGCAATATTTTAGAAAAAATTAAAGAAAGTAGTTTTAAGACCAGGGTATTTTAATTACATAAAATATGTTATCTATATCTTCCACTCCATTAAACTTTCTTTTCTTTATTTCTTAGAAAATAAAAACATGCTGGTATATTTCTTGGAAGGTATGGCACTGTGATGCTTCACAATTGTGTAGTATGCACTTTGTATGGTTCTTTGATTACACATAAAATGTATTAATATAATTTACCTTGGCAGTAAGTACCATCCTGAGGTGTGAACTGCAGTTTTCCTGTGGACGTCTGATAACCTTCCTTGCAGAAGCAGTGATATCCACCATTTACATTTTCACACACTGCATGATCACCACAGACAACTGACTCACTGCACTCATCTATATCTGGAAATATTTTAAAATTCATTTTTAATTTAGTGCACATGTCGTTGTTACCTTGTGGATAATAGCATTACCTATGGTGAGTGGTTTCATATATAATTTCATAAGAAAGTAAAAGAAATTTTATCATTTAGAAAATGGTATAAAAACAAAACAAAACTTAGCTGCATATATTTTTTAATTCCAATTTGGCCAATCCATTTTGACAAAGTATTGAAAATGTTATTCATAGGCCAAACTTTCAAATCACTTTCTGAATAGCATGATTAATAAACAAAGTCATTACAGTAATTTCCATCACTGACAATGCAACATCTAGCCCTAATTTAATAAAGACCCAATTAAAAAATACATTTAAAATTATTTGCTGCACTAGACTGGAGTCCAGTCTCTTTCCCTCTCTCTCTCTCTCCCTTTCTCTCTTTCTTCTTCCCCCCAATCGCTCCACCTTTGGGGTACCCTGAACCCGGCTGGAGCTGGTCTCCGGCAATTATCTTCTTCAGGCTTAGGTGTTGTGGGAGTGAAAAAAAAGAAAAAGAAAAAAAGAAAAAAAAAATTATTTGCTGAGTGATTATAACCACTTAGTTTAGAGTAATCTGGAGGATCAATGAGTGACTCATTTTCTTTTCAAAGTTTAGTTTTTGCATGTGAGTTAACTTAAAAAACCAAGATGTAGCAGAACGTTTTATCTAATTCTCTTAAAATTTTACCATAACTTATTACTTTTGCTGAGGTTGTGTTTTGCTATGGCTCTTAATACATAATATCACAGATAATGTAATAAATAGTATAGAAGTAAGTCTTAGATTCTCAGTAGCCACAGAAGCCTTAATAAAAGTGCTGGGTTTAAAACTCACATAATTTATATTCCTAATTTAAAATTTTACATGCTACAGTGAAATACGCTTTAAAGTTATAAATACAGTATAAATACTCTGTCGGTATAGGGAATGATTCCAAAGAACTGAAGAATCCAGATTATTACCTTTAGTTAATGCAAAGATTTTTGTGTTCCTAGCCAAGTTCTGATATCTTAGAGGTACTTTTTATTAAATTAATGAATGAACCTGTAATCTTAAGTTTCTAATTTGATTTTTAAAAAAAAAACTAACAGGGTGGCAAATCCTGTTTGCTATAAAAATAGGACGAGCAACCAAAGTCAAATTTAACATGTTATCTGGCTAGTTATCTTAAATGCAACTGCTGCTAATTTGTCACTTAAAAATATAATAAAGACATAGAAACACATTCAAATTCACACTAACAAACAAACAAAAAATGGTATTGGCAGCACGCCTCTTGTTAGTGTTTTGAAGATATTTCCATTAGCTAGAAAGGTGAAGATATTAGATTTAAGAAGTCAACAGCCCAGGCCTAAAAGAAGGTTAGAAAGCCCTTGTTCTTCTAACAAGTCTATATATTCGCAATCCGTGCTGCCCAGAAATCTGAATAAGCCAATTCTAAAAAAACCCAAAAAACCAAAAATGTTTCTGTAGCATCCTCAGTTCTCTTCCTTTCATTTCTATAGGAAATGAATTCTATGGAAATGATTCCTGAATTGCCCACTCTACAAAAACAAATGGACAGAAAATAAAGTAGAAGAAAAGTAGTGGCAGGTTGACCTTGGGTTATGAAGAACCAGGAAGGAAAGCATTCTAGCCTGGGCTAGACAGAAGAACTCAGATGGTAGCTCAGACTAGGGTTGTTCGTTTTTATTAAATCAATGGAATGAGGAAAGAAAAATAGGACTGAAGCAAAGAAGAATCTTTGTGGAGCAGAGTTGTCGAAGTAACATTGTATGCCCCAACTGGGAAATCACCCCAATGAAAGTGTGAGGACAGGCTGTGCATGGTGGCTCATGCCCGTAACCCCAGCACTTTGGGAGGCCAAGGTGGAAGGGTTGCTTGAGTCCAGGATTCCACGACCAGCCTGGGTAACATAGTGAGACCTCGTCTCTATAAAAAATAAAAAAATAAAAATAACTGGGTGTGGTGACATGTACCTGCAGTACCAGCTACTTGGGAGGCTGAGGCAGAAGGAACAACTGAGCTGGAATTGGGCCATTGCACTCTAGCCTGGGCAGGTGAGTGAGACCTTGTCTCAAAAATAAAAATAAAAAACAGGCCAGATGCGGTGGCTCAAACCTGTAATCCCAGAATTTTGGAAAGTCCAGGGTTTGAGACTAGCCTGGGAAACTTGGCAAGACATCGTCTCTACAATAAGTCAAAAAATTGGCCGGGCGTGATGGTGCACACCTGTAGTTCTGGCTACTTGGAAGACTGAGGCGGAAGGATCGCCTGAGCCCAGCAGGTCGACGCTGGGGTGGCTGTGAGTGTGCCACTGCACTGCAGTCTGGGCGATGGAGTGAGACTCCAATTCAAAAAAAATAAAATAAAAAATAAGGAATGAGGAGAGCCAGAAGTATCATAAATAGAATAGTTTATTTCACAAGACTGAGTATTCTTTTAATAATCATGTTTTGTAGTTTAGACGCCTTCTATGGATAGCAATAAACAAGATTTTGAGTTCTCTCAATTTCAAAACCATCTAAGTGTGCAACAGCCCTGGTAATTTCATCCCCAAACCAATCTCTGAGCAACATAAAAATCTTGACTCTGTAAACCCTATTCCATCATCCTTCTGCACTTTGGACTTAAGTGTACACAATCTTGGTGCACAAAACGGACTCCATTTCAGAGTGCCTCCTTTAGACTATCTGGTGTTTTTGTTGGGATCTCTGCTCTAGGTCAAGTTCTCTCACCACCACTCACTTGGCTAATTGGTATTTAAGCAAGTCAGCCTTGGATTAAGGAAGGTATTATTTCAGCTTCTAAGTTCACCAAGTGGTAATATGATAATCTGTAAAAATGATAAGTAGGGTAGTACCCTGGGATACTAGCACTCAAGATTAAGATTATATGATTTTTTCAAATATTCAGAATCAAAATATTATGAAACATAATATTAGACATTCCATCAGAGTGATGATTTTCAAATTGCTGTTTGGTTTATACTTTTGTTTTCATAACTTTTTATTGAAATGTGGGCATGAGGTTTACTGAATTTGATATTCTTCTCACTCTGGGCCTCAGTGGTAGAATTTAAAGAGTTTAACCCCATAATGAAGTATGCTATCACTTCAAATGGTAATGTGCATAGGTAGTCAAAAGTATGTCCACTGTCCTCAGCCCCACATCATTTGCTGTCCAGTTTTTTTTTTTTTCCCCAGTAGTACAGAGAAAACCATAAAACACTAAAAAAGCATTCCATCTCGGAATAAGATGAAACTGAACGGTTGGCCACAACGAATACACCTGCCATTTTGCAGCAAGACCCACACTAACTTCTCCTGCAATCTCTTGCAAGGTCCAAACTGCTTGGACCTAATAAATTTATGGTATCCATTCTCTTTCCTGCAGGAAAAGGCACTGGGTTTACCATTCAGAAGGTCTTAATTCAAATTCAAACTCAAACACTCATTATCTGTGTGACAACTTTGGGCAATATCTTTAAAAAAGTACCTTCTAACTCAGAAAAGTTACATGTCATAACAAATATGGAAATGAACGTGGAAGTGTTTGGAGCAGTGCCTAGGATACTGAGATAGCAGATATTGCAACTGGAAAATCAGGACTGGTGATTCTACTCATATTGTATGCTTTCCTACAAACAGGAGCTTTGTGAATAAGAAGATTAGAAGATTACAGACTGATAAAGAGTGTCTTTTTTTGGTTGCCATGTCTTGGTAGTCCCCAAGACTATAAAAGAAAAAGAACCCTCTTCCCTGTCTTCATGAAAACTAAATGACGAGTATGTAATTAATTGTCAGGCTAGAGTTGACAGACCAGATTTATTAACTGACCCACTTTTCCCACCTCTATCCCCTCATTCCATTTTACACTAGCAATTCAATATCACCAAATGCAAGCATATCATTAAAAAAATCTTAATTCATTTTTCTACTCTTTTATTCACAAAGTTATGCTTGTTTTTCATGTTTATAATTAGCTTACCCCACAGTATTTTATCATACTATTCTTTTAAAACATGATCATATGATGGTTATGATTCCTATAATTTTTTTTATCAATAATGCAGTTTTCTAATGTTGTCTAACTCACAGACTACAATGAAAAGACAAAATGCTAATTATTAAAATAATTTTCAAAGACAAAAGTCAATTTCATATTATTCAAAGCTAGGGAAAAAAAAACTACAATTATCCTAGGGTACTCAAAAGCAAGTAGGACGTTAAACTAAAAAGCTATAAACAATGCTCTGAAGCACATGGCAAAAGTGAACATTTCCTTCTACTGATTTAGTCTGGAGGGAGTCACTTTACTCTTGGATGCTTCAGTTTCCCTATTTGTGAAATGCTGGTGGGTCTGTAACTAGGTTTCTCCAGAGCCGAACATCTTGAGGTTCTATTTTACTGTGATTCCAAAGGGAAGAAAAGTATGCATGGTGCTAAACTTCAACCCCCCTGCTTCTGCAACCAAATCACCTCATGTGTGGAGAACTGTATTGGCATAAGGACTAAAGGTAAGGAATTTTGCTTGCATCATTTCTTGCCTTATGTTGGAGGCTTCCATTTTCTATCCACAGAGGTTCTTGATGTCCAAATACCGGCCTGTCAAATTTAAGGATCAGCTAACACTTCAAATCAGAAGCAATACACTATGAGGAGATGATATACTAAAGTAAAAAGGGCATAGATTTATGTTTCTCTGTTCAAATTCCCTGAGGATTAACATAGTGCCTGATGAAAATTACTACAGGGCCGGAACAAAGAAAAATAGCTATGTTGCTTCTCAAAAGCGCTTAATCCTTAAGGACAAAAAAAATTGGTGAGAAATAACATTTTTATAGAGAATGAGTTTTTCACTGAATAATCCATCAAACAAAACAGGTAGAAACAGAAGGACTCAATACTTGATATTAGGTTTCAATGTAGCTAGTGAGTTTACTGACTACTTAAAATAGCTAAAAAAGGGAATTATCAAAAACTTAAGGCCATTCCACGGTATCTCAATAGAAATGAGTATTGAGGAGAAAAAGAGTCTTAAATTACAAATATACTACACTCCCTTAAAATGCTGGCATTCCATCATCTTTGTGTGTGTGTGTTTTCTCTGTCTTTGATTCAGTGTTTTCTAATGTAGAAATTCTCTACTTGAGGGAACATGAACACAGAAATACAGCCCTTTGTGAATTGAGGGTTATTAAAAGCAAACACGATCAGATAAAAAGACAGATGTATTATAGAGACGAGAGACGTTAGGGAATGGAGAGCACAGTAAAAATTGTGTTAAATTACAGTGATTAAGATGTTATAAGTTGGCCTTTTTCACTAACTGGAAAGTTCCTACTAAAACTTGCAGAACTACATAATTAGAACTTAATTATTAAAGGTAAAATACATCCATTATATGATATTCTAAGACTAGCAACAGGACTATAGGCTTGAGAAGCACAGTGAGGTACTGTAAATTTTATGGGCTGAATCTCATAGATTTCTATTTCCCGAATATACTGTAATGCTATATTCCAATAAAATTGTATTCAGCAAACACTAAAGATAAAATTATTATTCAATAGGAACAGCATTATTTTCTCATATGTTAAATATTTTATACTCTTGCAAAACCAGATCCACTGAATTTGCATGACTCTGATCAAAATGTGAGATGTAATTGTTCACCTATGTGAGTATCCTGTGGAAATACAATGGATTTCTAGATACAAGACTGTGATTTGAGTCCTACCTTTGTCCTACATGTGTGAACCTTGGGGAGGATGTTCCTTCCCTTGCTTGCTGATAAACTGCGGAGAACTAAATTGTCGCAGCTTAAATAGAAGAATAAATGTTGTAAGGTGAAGGTATGTGAGAGGGGATGAGTTCTTTGATACAGACATTTCACGGATGAGTTTTCTTTGAACATTGTCTTCTGGCTGATCATGTGTTAATAATATCTCACTAGGGAACTAATGAAAGGCTTTGCTGTGATCTGAATTAGCTTGAATATCTCTCTTTTATCTAACTGTGTAATGTATAAGCAGCACATTACTCTTGTCTATGTTGCATGTGTGTCCCTGAGTTCAAGTCCCATATCTACCCTTGGCCACATGATTAAATTCTCATGGCCTCAGTGTATCTACTACATTTGTAGATTAACAACCATAATTAGTTATAATAGACACTGGTAAGTTAAATTTTAAAAAACATGATTAAGGTGATTTAAAATATATTTTCAAAGTTAACGCCTTTGGCTCCAGAGAATTTGCTTCTGAAAATTGCTCATCTGGGGAAGTTCCTAAATAATCTTATTATTTTCTCAGACTGTAATCCAAATCATACAGGATGTGAAAAATCACACTCATGACCAAATTGCAATAGAAGGATATTTTTAAAAATCTTCTAGATTTGTTCTCCAGACTCACAATAAATGAATAATCACTTAGGGATTGAATTGAAATTATTATCCCCACAGAGAACATTATGGTAAACCTCATGTAATTTCAAAAATAGGACTCTAGCGTTCAGAAAAACTTAATGCAGACCTGAAGTGTGACTAGCTTTCATCAAGGCAGAAGTAAACCCACTAGGATAATTCTTTTCTAAGTAATGACTGTCTGAAAAAATGTAGGACCCATTGCAGAGTGCATATTTCTAAAAACACCAATATCTTTTAACACAAATTACAGTTTTCTTGAGTTAATATACTATTTTGAAGTGCAAATATTTATCCTGTTATTTGCCATCATGTGAGATCTGATGGCTCCGTAAAATGTTTTTTTAACCTGTCTTATTTTCTACAAAAAAATTCTGTCTTATGTCCTTGGTTAAATAATCCATAGTAATTAGTTATACAAGACTGGAGAAATAGAGACATTATTGTAGTTGTTGAAAGTATGTAGCATCTAAGATACAATCAGGGTCTAGCAAAATTTGGCTTAAATATTATTTAATCTCTGAGGTAGTAAACAGTAAGAGATAGACGTAAATTTTAACTTTAGATAATTGAACTTACCTATGCAGACGGTTCCATCATTAGTGATAAACCTGTCTTGGTTACTGCTGGATCTAAAACCGGGTGCACACATACAATAATAACTTCCCTCTGTGTTAGTGCAATTAGCATTTTCACCACAGGACTGGGTTAAATTTCCACACTCATTATCATCTGTGGACATATCAATTAAAAATATTATTCTCATATAAATGACATAAATTTCTACTGTTTTCTATCAGTATTGGGGAATTTTGACTTAAATAGTTTAAGGCAATATGATGTTTATTTCTATGAAAACTTAGTACTAAAGATTCTATATTCCAGATGTCTTATTCTTAGTTATAATGTAAAACTTTCTTAGCAGTTGCAAAGGAAAATAGGATCTTTTACTTTAAAACAGCTAGATATAACTATTGACTCTAAATTGCAATTTTTAAAGCATTTTTTGTAATTTAGATATAACAATATTTGTTAATATATGCTCATTGTGAATTTACAAAAATCTTTGTAATCACTCAAAAGCACACCCTAAATAAAATGAAAAAGAGATCATAAATTGACATGCTCTTACCATGTATTTTTTCATCCTTTGTTCTAGAGAAAATTTTGTATTACTAGGTATGCAGTCTCTTTGCTTATTCATTAACACATTTGTTCACATGATATACATTGTATTGTTATTCTACAGAAGAGTACACAATACAAATTGGATGGATATAGATAGATAAATAGATAGATTGATCATGATGTTCACCCTTATATTCTTACAATACAATTTATTAGAAAATATAAAGGTTCACATACGCTTTTTTAAAAATCAGAAAGGAGATTTATATAATCTGTTAAATAAAGGGGTTAGAAAATATATACTTCTCATGATTGGCTTGGAGAGAAGAATATTTCTCAGTGTCTCTCAAAAAGAAATGTTCAAGTCCTAATCCCATGGTTTCTATGAATGCAACGTTATTTGGAAATAGAATCTCTGTATACATAATGAAGTTAAAATAAGGTCAGGCTGGATTAGGGTGGACTCCGGTTCAATTACTGGTGTCTTTATAAGATAGAAACGTGGACACAGAAACATAGAGAAGACTATATGAAGAAAGAGGCAGAGACTGAGTGAACCAGCTGTAAGGCAAGCTGTAAGGCAACTGAAGGTCAAGAAAAGTTGGTGACTACAAAAGTGAGAAGTAGGTAGGGAAAGATTCTTCCCTAGACCCTTTGGAAAGAGCATGGGCCAGCTGGCAACTTTATTTCAGACGCCTAACCTCTAGAGCTGTGAGAGAATAGATTCTTTTGTTTTAAGTCACAGATTTGATCATAGTTTGCATGGCAGTTCTCAGGAAACTGATGGATCTAAACTGGAAGATGTGGTTAGATAAGTATCAATAAGGGAGAGAGAGAGAAAGGAGAGAAAGAAGGAAACTGAAGGAAAACAAAATGATGGACAATGTGCAGGTATAAGGTGACTGAGACATTTCTGAAGTTTATAGGAAACTTAACTGGGGCACAGAGAGAAATCATAGGGGAAGTTTGAAAATTGTCTTGAATTTTTATTCTTCATTGTCATCGCACAAGGCTTACTTTTTTTTTTTTTATAGGATGAGTTGTGTAAACACTTGACCTCTACACTAGCTATTGCACACATGGAGTGATAACTAAGCGTTGAGGATTTTTCTAAATTCTCTGTGAATATTAATTTACTTGAAGTTCTAGATAAGCTCTGGAAGATAGGTATTATCATCTTTAACTGATGAGAAAGACAGAGGAAAGCCAGCTCAGCCTCCACACATAAGATTTGTTCCATGTTGTGGCATCAGACAACTTTTTACCTTACCACAGGCAGGTGGAGTAGGAATTCCAAGTTTTGTTGAAAATTCTAACCCCTGGCATTGGACCTGATTTATTCTTGGGTAAACAGAAGGGCAGAGCAGCCAAGGAAGAATTTTGAGTTCCCCCTAGCAACCAACAACTCTGAGAGGTGTAAGAACAAAGAAGGTTGAGCTCTCAAAGGTTTGTATAGACCAGACGGGTAATGTAAAAGTTTGACCCCACTGGGAATCAGACAGCAGAAGATGGAGTACTATAGTTTGTGATATCAGGAAGTACACACCGCACCTAAAATATTTAATTTGAAAAAACATAAAAAGCATACTTAAAACACTTTGTTCAGATTTAGCATTTGGCCAGACATTTGTCACCCCTAAAATACAGCACAAGGAGGTTGGAGAAAGTGAGGGAGATTGTCGATGTATGACAAAAGGTAAGATAAATTGCGAATGGTCTTACATAAAATGCTGAAGCTTTAATACTTCATTAACATGTATGGATTTAATTTATCTATGTTGTATAAATAAACATATTATATAACTCTATATAGCTATATACATATACATATACTCAGAAAGCAGACACATAGGCCTGTGTTTGCATTTATTCAAAATTAAAGTGGTTTCTTAAAATTAACTGAGCTCACAAATTGAACACAAGCACCTAAATCAAGTGAAAGAAAAGTGTCTCACCCACATTGGGTTTGATTCAATCATTCAGTTACTCAAATATTTATGGAGTTTCCCAGTTCCCAAATGTGAGTATGTCTATACTGGGAAATAAGGAAGAATTAATCAAAAAGTCAGGATCTGTGCCCCGCTGTCAAGAGTTCACATTCTAAAGGCAAGTTAACATAGAAGTGTATAATTGAGTTTTTATTAAAATAAAAGTTTTCATTTTTATCTCTAAATTTGACTCCCTTCACAGCATACTGGGAGAACTTTATATTAAACTTTGAAAGAAACTGTGCTCCCAGATCAGTTAGTGGTAATATAGAGGATGATGAGGATTGTATCCCTGGTGGGCTAGAGTTGCAAAAATCATATGCAAAAATACAGAGAAGGACTTGCTAGGTCTGAGGTATTGGTCAGAGTCCAAGAAAATGAGCCCAACTTATTATGTTCCCCCAAATAAATTACATACCAATATGTAATTAAACTTCAACATAATCTTGCTAGTTTTTGTGTAACATATTAATAGGCAGAAATAAACAAAGGTTTAGAGTAATTTTTATGTCTCTTCCTACTTATGGTTTTGAGCACTTGACCTCTGAGTTTTCTTATCAAGAATTCGGAAAGAAAGTATTTCCTTATTTACCTCCCCATCTTCTGGACTAGATATGTAATAGGGACAGATTCCCTAATGGTCCAACTCAAATCTTGTTCGGTAAAATACCACTTAACTGAAAGTAACCTCCTCTCTTCTCTCAGGACAGTGGATATGGGCAAGGAATTATCTTTGTGAAGTAATATATAAATGTGAATAATTTAAGTAGCTTTAAACTTTCCAATGTCCAGCTTCATCATAATTAATCTTCAAGGAGAAAGTTTCTTTGGATGGGCATACTATAGAAAAATAAAAATCTGCTTCTTTTGTGTTATTTCTAATGTTCAAGTCGATTCACCAGTTATATTACCTACTTCCTATAACTCTGTATTTAATCCTTTTTGATGGTTTATAAAAGAAATATTTAGATTAAGATGGTCTTTAAAAAATTCATTATAGAACAGTTACACTAGAGATGTACTTCTAAATGCTATAAAATCTGTCAGCTAGGAGAAATATTTGGCATTCTCTCAGCAAAAATTCTTCCTGGCTCACTTCTGACACACTCAGTCCAGTGTGGCAAGAACAAAGGCATACACACAGCCCCCAACTTAAAGGGATGGTGGCTACTGAAACTATACAAGGGTCCAAATTATTGGATTGTAGTGTGTGTAACATATAAGAGAGGCATTTAGTAGTACAGCAGTAACCCAGAGAAGGCAAGAACATCTTTAGGCCATCTGCAGGATAAAAGGGTGATGATTATTCACAGGGAGGATTTAGAAGGAAAAGTGATGCTTGAGCCAGGCATTAAAATACAAGCAAGAGTTTAGACAAACAAACAAACAAAAAAATGGCCCTAACAATCCATTCAGGTGAATGACAAAGCTTCTCCAAATGCCTAGAGGCCTGCAGGGAGAGCATAATTTAGAGAACAATTGTATTGTTGAGCATTGGGTATGAAGGTACAGGCTGTGAAGCAAGAATTAGCTCAGCCTGTAATCCCACGCTTTGGGAGGCCGAGGTGAGTGAATTGTCTGAGCCTGTGGGTTGGAGACCGGCCTGGGCAACTTGGTGAGACCTCATCTCTACAATAAATAAAAAAAATTAGCCGGGTGCGGTAGCGTGCTCCTGTGGTTCCAGCTACTGGAAGGCTGAGGTGGAAGGATTGCCAGAGCCCAGCAGGTCGAGGCTGAGGTGGCCGGGAGCAGCCACTGCATTCCAGTCTGGGCGACAGAGTGAGACACCAACTCAAAAAAAAAAAAAAAAAAAAAAAAGGAAAAAGAAAAAGAAAGAGTTAGTAGGCATGGCCAAAACTGAGAATATGCTTGCTAAGAATTTGGAACTATAGTCAGTGAGTAAAGGAAGGACATCAACAGATTTTATGTAGTGGATGAGCCTAATTGAATCTGAGTTTGAAAACAGTTTTAGAAATATAAGAAGAACTAGCTATGGTCTGGGTAAAATTGGTAAAACACGACAAGACGAGGTAGGCTATATTCGAAATGTAGGTGTTAAAAGTCACTGATTGAGGAAGGGTAAGGAACGTGGGTAGGATCAAACGAGGTTAGCCATAAACTGAAAACTGTGCCATCTGGGTGATGGCTGCAAACATATTTTGACAGTATTGTTTTTACTTTTGTGTATATGAGATTTTTCATAATATTTATAATGTCCGTGGGGGTTGGGGAGAACATGGATATGTGAGCTGGAGAAGCAAAGATGACTTCCAGGTTCTGACTCAGAGAGATATGGTGGATACATGAAACCACTTGCCACGTCAGGAAGAAACCGAGGAGGAGCTTTCTTCCAGGTTAAAGCAGTGAGCTCACTTTTGGACGTAAAAAGATTGAGGTGCCTCAATTCAGTGAGGGCACTTCAGATAGGGTTATCAATAGTTCCATAGTCAGTCAGAGAGCCATGCATGGTCAAATCGTGAGGGAAAACTTGATAACCCAAGACTCCCTTCCGTCCAGAGGGTGAGTTGGATTCGAGAGCATGATATTCGTGGTGGGCTCCAGTGCAAGGGCAGGCCTGCTATTTTCCTTGGCATTTATCTCTTGATGGATGCGTTC